TAAATGTTTTTTACGAGAAATTTCTTAAAAATAAATTAAAGTACTAATGTCGGAGAAACTTGAAAAAAATTACATGTTTAATCTGACAGGTTTATCGAAATGATCTGAATTTCTAAAAATCGAACGAAGAATTTTGGATTTAAAAATTTTTCCAATTGGAATTTTGACCTAAGTTCAACAATTTTAAGATGATACATTTATTTCAATATTAATATACTTTTGCTATTCTGAGTAAATACATTAAATGATGTGGGATAGTCAGAATTTTATTTATTTAAATAAATACAGAAAAATTGACGCATATTGACAATTTTTTTTTCTTTATTTATTTTATTTGTTCTTTGTTCTACTTTCGATACGCAATATGAAAAATACAACAATGTTGAAAAATTAACGTATCATCTTTAAATTGTGATTCAAAAGTCAATATTTTAATTTAAGGAATTTTCTAATCTAAAAATGTTCATAATATTTAGAATTTTGGAGATCGAATTTATACCAATCATTAATCTACCGAAGAGTAAAACATTTTAGGGAAAAAAAACACGATTAAGTCGATTCTCCGATTTTTTTATAGCTAAAATCTTAAGATTCAGATATTGGTATTATCGAGTTTTAAATAAAAAAATACAATTATAAAAAACATTTTAATGCAGTGAAGTAACATTCCGCGCACGGTTTATTGATTCAGCCTGTACACAAACACGTTTTCTCTCCCATCGCGAAGTAAAAATTTCATTTAATAACGCAGCAATGACAACACTCAAAATAATAATGATAAAAGAAATCTTAAACTATTTTATAATATTGCTGCAGCAAAATGAATTTTATCGGAATTTATGATTATCAATACAGAAAATGATATCAGTCAAAAGTAAAACTAATTTTTTATGCTTCAAAATATAGGTAATTTAAAATTTACAACTCTCAATTGTAAAATAATAATAATGTATAATAAAAATATGATTTAAAACAAGAAATTAATCTAAAAAACAAAACGAAGAAATAAAACTAAACGTTATCGATTTTCATGAACAAAAAAATAATAAAACAACAAAAATTAATGATTTTGTTTGGCACCCTCAAAATAAAACCCGTCAAACCACTTCTCCTTTAACTGTTTAAATACTTAAAGATGTTTTTTATTAGTATTATTTATGTCTACTTCACGCTTTACTGCCGCTTCATAGCGTTCAAATACGCAATCTCTTTGTGCCTTTGAGTCAGAATAAAACACAAAATTTATGCTTGTTATAATTAGAGAAATAAAAAAAAACGAACCATTTTCAAACCCAAAAAAAAACTAAAGCTATAAATTTCAGATAAATACTAAAGCTCAAGAGATTAAATTTACAAGAAAGGCCCGGATAATAACACAAATGGTATACGAACATACTATTATAAATCAAGATAAATTATATAGATTTCGATATAGTTATAAGTGTAAATTGCACCAGAAAAATTTGTACCTTTAAAGTAAAAGCAGTCGAGTAAATAGCATTATGAACGACATAACGTACTAGTTTCGTTTAAAAATAATTATTATATCGGTGAGTGGCTCGCAATATGAATTTTCCCTATTTTTTTAATTTCACCATCCACCTCCGTTAAATGTCAAAGCGACTGGTGTTTCTTTACTTAGTGTGATTTTATAGAATATTTAACTTTTTACCGAGAGACATACATTCACTTCATTGCAATCTTCTCGATACGTATGAAGTTGACATTTGAAACTAAATACTTCACTTTATTAATATATTATTAATTATTACAAATCGTTGAAAGTATCCTGGTAATTTGATATAAAATGTATAAGTCTAAAATCAATAATTATAAATTTACATTCTTGATATTTCTAACAAAGTAATTAAAAAAATTATTTCCTAAGTATTATTATATCTAAACACTGGTTAATGAAAATTAAAATTGAATTTATATAATCGATTACATTAATTTTAAAAGAAACTTCAATTAATTTAGTCACTTCAAAAGTTTAATAGATTTCTTCAAATCAATCACGGAAAAAAGTAAACTGTAATATTCACTCGGATTCCGGTTAGTTTTTATAGTTTCAAACAGTAAAGCGGACATCGGGGTGGCAAAAATGTAAATATTACAGAACTTAATGTAGGAAGTATAAAAGCCACAATTTATAATTTAATATCCAAAATAAGTGATTAGTAGTTGTCACTATAGTAAATAACGACTCTTTCATCATCTTTAAAAATTACAGTTTCAAACAGTAAAAATTGCCATTTCAATATATAGTCCATATTATGAAGAGAAGAGGAACTCAGATGAAAGAGAAGGAGGTCTCACTCTGGGAGAATTTAACATTTCAAACAGTAAAAATTATACTTTTAAAATATACATTTTACCAGTCTAAGCAAGTCAATAATTACAGTTTGATTTTTAGCGTTGCGTTTAAAATTTACCATTATACTTTGTAAATATTGACGTTGCTTGTATTAGAAATTTACTAACTTTAATTATTTTATACTTTTTACATATCATAACATCATTTTTTAGGTACGAAATGATAAATATTAAAGTCTGAATTCTTAATTATTATACTTTAACATTTTAGACATTTACATAGCGAATATTACTGTTTGAAATAGTATTTTCTTCCATGTAAAGAGTAAATTGTGACGTTTAAATGGTAAATATTATGAAGTGAATAGTAAAATCACGATTTTACTGTTTGAAATGGTAACTTTTAGCAGTTGATTATTACTTATTATAAATCGACTGTTATTTATTACAGTTTACTTTTTTCCGTGAATAAATAAATTAATTAATTAATTAAATTAACAAAGGATTAAATTGAAAGATGAGAAAATACTTCGTTAAATTTTCACGATGCCAATTATAATAATTGGTGAAAATTATGTATATATGCATGAATGAATCTTACAATAAGTTTTTAGATTTTGAATATCAATAAAAATTTTACAGCTTTTTCTTATTAACGGCCGTCCCAAATTTTGATCAACTTTTGTCCTGTTAACATTTTTTTAACTCTCTCTTTACTACTAAATCTTTGAAACCTAAATCCCACCGGCTAAATTCATAGATTTTGACAAAAATTATATAAAATATTATTTGAATTGTTTATAAAAGCTTTAATTAATTTTTGAAATCTTTGAAAATTTCTAAACCAATGTATTTTTAGTTTTCATGGTCTTGATAATTATTTTTTCTTCATTTTCAAGTGCTATCTTCAGAAGATATTTCGCACACACATGGCATAGGCGTTATTTACGAAAAAAAATTCTAATGCGTGAAAACTTGAATAAACTTAATAAAATTAATTTGGTATTCATAAACTTTTGATCTAATATTCAAAAATTGTCAATTTATTGTAAACAAAAATATAAAACAGAAAACAATAAAATATGCAAACAGTACATTTAACGCTATCTAGTGGTATAAAATATAAGGTATGGATTGCCCTCAGTAGGTAGAGGAGTTTACAAAACTCAAAGAAATTTATAAGTCAATAATTTTGTATGGAAATAAAAAAAAAAAAATTGAACGTATAAAAATTATTAAAAATAAACGATTATTTGAAAAGCGATAAAAAATTACAGTAAATTTTTAGAAAAATACAAAATAATTAAAAATAGTGTCTTAAAAATTTGAAAACAAAAAAATAAATAACAATCAAACATTGAACCTGAACTATTTCCTTTTTTTCCATATCTCTATCTTACATATTCAGTATATGAAATAAAATCCAATTTAATTACCCAACCAATTACCTTTTAATTACCTTTTATCAGTGACAAAATCATTGGCCTGCAGCGGTCAATTAAAATGAAATTTCTCCTGTCCTAATAACTTCTCTTTTCACCCAGTCTAGCTCGGACAGATTTTAAAAATATTATAAATAAAAGTTAACAATACCTACATGCAGTACAAATAAATTAGCGTTACCATCACCATTGTAATTCTTCAGCGATCGTTTCCCATTCCTTGTCCCATTGATCCTACGCTCATGCTCGAGTCCAGCTGACTCGTTTGTCGCCGCTGAATCGTTGAAATAGTCAGTAAATGTTTGCTTCTATTGCGCGAAATGTGTCTGTTATATCTACGCAGTTAACTTTAATTTTTGTGTATTTACATACAGTGAAAAACAATTTTCTATAAAACTACAACTAATTTTATTTATTACAAATATCACAATCACTATTATCAATAAATATAAATTAATAAGACTGTAAATTAGTGATTCAAGTGTGACGCAGTTTGTCGAAACTCGAAATATATATAAGGGTAAGAGCAATGGCATAAGTGTTGTACATATACATATATACATATATATTTATATAATTTAAGTGATAATTGTGTTTAAAATTAGTGATTGTACGTGTTGTGTTCATTTGCATAAAAATATATCTTCAATCTAAATATAACTATGTTATTAATATTGGGATAAAATAAAAAGTATATATATATGATACATAATAAGATGTTTATTTAGCATCGTTGTCGTAGAGAATAGAGCATACAATACACAATAAAATGAAACAAAACATCCTCGAGAAATATAAGGAAAAGTATAAGAAAATGGGGGTGAAGTTAATAAAAAAAAAAATATGAACAAATAAAATAATACGTTTTGGGGGGAAATGAAAGCGAGGGCGTCTGTTTCGGAAATTTAAATATTACTAGTTTCCGAGTAGCATCATGGATCATATATATTATATAGAGTATATTTATTATACTGATATGTATAGACATATTAATATCACGCATACAAAAAAGTTATTCACACTTACAACGATACAACACATTTTATTTTGGCCCAGTTGATTTAGTTATACATACGCGGCCAATAGTGTCGATTGATCATTTAGAATTTATTAATATTACAATACTTGGTGTATTATGTACACTAATTTACTTACTACGCATACATGGATTAAAAATAATAAAATATATAACAAATGTAAACTAAAATGGCTTCTAACCTTGTCGAACTTCGATTCTCTTATCTAACCTCTTAAAATCTCTAGCGCCAAAGTACCTTTTAAAAAAAATATTTATTATTATTTTTTTAATGATAAAACATATTTTATTATTTTATTACCTTTTTCTCACGGTCATAACTCATAACCTGGAGAGTAGTATAGAAAATAGAAAATAAATGAAAATAAACCTTCTGAGAAATCTTGTGATCACCGGGTCTTCATATCATGCATATACATATAAAATATATTCAACATATATATGTATATATATATATATATATATATATATATATATAAATGTAAGATGAAGTCGCCTTGTAAACAAGTATACCCGAGACCGCTGTGTGACGTAATCCATTCAAGCGCATACTACGCAATACAAGTAAGACCGTTTTATTTGCAGTGGCGCACTGTCTACCGTCTTGCTCCTCTCGTTCGTAGTTATTATAACTTAAAAAAATTATCCTCTTTTTCTTTGTGATGGAACTCTCCTTTATCCTTGAACCCGGCACCAAAAACTTTGATTTTTCTTCTTCGGCCTTTCTCCCAGCGTGTATTCTAAAAAGATGGATGAAAAAGAAAATAAAAAAATAAGATGAAGATGAATAAAATAAAATGTATAGAATATAGATTTTACCCAGAGTCTACATACATACCAAATGGAATCAATCTTTGTATTCACAACTATAAAGAATATATATGTTCCTTGAAACACGAAGATCCTTAGCTTCTTTTCATCTTCATCACCATTATTATTGTTATTATTTATGTAGTTCTTATTCTTTTTCTTTTTCTATTTCTTTTTCTTGATATTCTCATGTCGAATCACGCGGTCTTGCTCTAGGCATGTAAATACACAATATATCCGCTCCATCTCCCAAATCCGTTGGAAATTTTATACTCAGTGTTAATGTGGTAGAAGTATTGTTGAAATACATCACATATACTACACATGAGGGCCCACGCGTCCTTTCCGGTGGCGCTCCCCTTGTAGTTTTTATATCAGTGTGTACGTATAGTAATATATAATATATAAATAAATCCACACGTGAGCGTAAAAAAAGTATCGTAGTGTGATGTGTGTAGTGTACGTCACATGTGCACACTGGCCATGAATCGGTAGATGAAATAAATGGAATATATTATTTTTTCAATATTTAAAGAAAAAGACCATACCAAAAGACGGTGCGTATATGGTATATAAGTAGCTCCAGCGTGTCTAAAATAATCGGGATGTTAAGAACCTTCTCATCATATACGTCATTCCTTTACTATATACTACTTTTCTTCAATTCCTTTCTCTCTTAATTGTTCTCTTTTTATCTATCGAATTGGGGAATAAGTTTGTCACTGTTTCCTTTTAAAAACTTGCTTTACTCTATCCTCCACTACTATAAGCGTATGTATGGAAGTAGACACTCCATTATAAATTTTTATGTACGTGCACATCGAAAGAGAAAATACGAACAGTTAGGAAAAAGAGAGAGCAGGGGAATCCCTGTTAAAGTCTGTTTCTGTTGGCATGTGCGCCACGAGCCCCGTAGGCCCGTAGTTAGAGGTGGACGCCAGTCGTTAGTTCAAAATAATCCAAATTCCACCGTGTTCTTCTCGTCTTCTTGTACGACAACCTGCTCTCCAGCACACGTCATGCGTGCTGCCAGAAAAGTTAACATTGTATTAGTTTAGTTTTATTTTAATATACTTGAAAAATATACCACCGATGATGTAAGTAGCCCAGAAGATAATACATATATTCCAAAGAAAATTGCGGGGTTTATGGGACAGGATTTTTGGCATATATTTTTATTTATTATTATTCAATCAAAAGTTTTATTATTTTAGTGTGTAATTTTTTATTTCTAAGCGCGTAATATCAAGGCTACGAGTTACGAGTTTATTTACCACCGGAAATCGTGAACAATAAAAATTTTACTTTGTTTAATTTAAATAATTAACACCACGACAAGAACGTACAATTACTTTATTGATTGCTGTTTTTAATTTTAGGTGAATATAACGGTTATAATTTTAAAATAAGAACAAGAAGAAAACGGACGTTTGTATTAACTTGAATATTTAGTAGATAAAATTTCAACAAAACAAAAGGATTATTCCAAGTCTTAGCGTGAATCGATCACGAATGGCCATTAAAAACGTGATGTGAAACTTAAATACGATACAATGTTGGACGCGTCCAATGTTTTTCTTCTTCTTCTTCTCAACATAACAGTGAGCATCACCAATACAGCAGCAACAGCAACAGCAGCTCTCATGCTTGGCATTCTCTTAATTCATCTTATCTCTCTCTTTTTTCTCTTTCTGTCTCACTCTTCAAACGCATACCAGGTCTCTCTGTGATACCGACTACGAGGCACACCAGAAAAAAACACATAAAACATAAACATTATACTATCACCTATCTACTTAATAAAATACACTGGATTTTCGTGTTTCTAACATCAACAACCCAAGGAATTTTATTTTACGGAAATAAACTTTTTCTAACTTTTATACTTTTCGTTTTATATATTTAATCTGAAATCGATTTGTCGTATAGTTTTTTTAGAAAAGTCTGCTCTAAGTGTAATTATATACACTGATAAAAAAAACTTAACTTGATTCAAGAGAAAAAATTAAAAACCAAAAATTTTAACTTTTTTATCAGTATAATAAAAAAGTATTGTTTCTTACTGAAATAATTTAAAATTTCCTTCCAAACTCTGAAGATATTTCCGACTCTGATATTTTACATCAAATAGAACATATTCATGATAAAATTTTTTTTAATGATCAACGTGAACACCCTATTCTTCTTCCATCTCAAGAAAACAGTTCATCATATCTATCCGATGCATTAAATGTTTTATAATCTGTAGAGTTCTAATTTCATACTTTTTACCTCTTTTGTAATCATTAATTTATTTTTTTCTCACTTTTTATTTCTAAAATAAAATCTTGTATTTTCAATTATAGATTGTATTGGATATTTATGTGTGCACATGGAAATAAAATTTAATTTTTCCTTAATTATCAAAGAAATCTTCTATATTTATACACAGAAAGAACAGTTTCTTCGTTAAAGTAAAAAATTTTCGTCAGACAAGAATATTTTTGCTTTGCTCCAAAACAACTCAAGTCTTCAAACAGATTAAAAAAATTTTCTTGGTTTAAGTAAATTTTTTTTTCTGAGTACTGATTCATATTATTGATGTATTGATTATACAAAAAATATTTTCATTATTTATGATGTAAAAAATTTCTTTATTTTAATTAATAGTTTTATGCGGTGGGAGAAAGAACTAAATGTTGAAATAGGGGAACGGATACTTTGATAGTGGTCATTTTTAGAGAGTCGACTGTATAAAATTCGATCATATTTTGAGAAGCCGAGCTTTCATCGGATTTCCACTGTTGAGGTACTAGGAAGCCATTCTGACTATTTTCGGCTGGCCGTCCGGCTCTTAGTGTGTTAGTGTGTTAACTGCTTTTCAAATTTTCAAAAAAAAATAACAAAACAATTACATACTATATCATATATCATGTATAAAATTTATGATGTATATATTGTTACAAAATATCATTTTTTTGCTCAGAAAGAAAAAATTCTTCACTAAAGGACAAATTTTCTTGGCTCAAAAAAAAATAGTTTTCGTGAAGAAAAAAATTTTTTTTTAATAGAAGTAAATTTTTCTTTCTGTGTGACGACAATTACGTTTCGTGACTAGATGTCACGCGAGAGTTTACCTATTGCTATAAAATGAAGAGAGTTCACATTCTCAAGGAAAAACCCAACTATTTTGTTCATCTCCGACATATGTCGGTACATTTATATGTATATAAAAGTGCGTCAACTTGCGTAGTCTGTCGCAATCTAAAGGCAGTGCTACGTCATTTCAAGCCCGCAAACAAATCAGTGTAAAATTTATTAGTGTTTTATCTATCTATTAAATAATTTTATGTTGGCATAATAATTAAAGTGATAATTACTGAGTAAAGTATTCTAAAATTTTAAAAAATAAAATTATTAAAATACTGTGTATAATCATTTAAAAAAATTTTTAAGCATATAAAAATATCATTAATATCTTCGTAAAGAAACAGTTCAAAAGATCTGGTAAACCTACACGGAAAAAAGAAAACTCGAAAAATTACCGTATATAATGCAACGTGGCGCTTCGTGATGAAAACTGGAAAAATTACAGTTTCAGATTGTAATTATTACAGATTTTATAAGAATTACATTACATTTTAAAATGTAATATTTACATTGCAAGCTCTGAATATTGAATTAAAAAATTGAATAATGAAAAATGTTATTTCAAACTGTAATTTTTCTAGTTTTGATTACGACGGGACCGATTTTACATTTTATACTTTAAATTTTCGAGTTTTCTTTTTTCCGTGTAACAGTTAATTGATTATTTCCTTATTTATTTCTTCTATATATGTTGATCTATTAAGTATAAATATAAAAAATAATAGCTTATTAACACCGTGATAGTAAACTTGCGTAAGAGTACTTATATATTGGTGTCGAATAGAAGCAATAAATCTATTGGGAATACAATTCTATACTTGCGACGACGCCAATGTTGTTTTCAACTAGTGATTCGTGTGTAGTGACTAACAAACTAACAAATCAACAGTCAATGTAGTATAATAATATAAGAGCAACTAAGAAGAAGACAAATAAAGAATGAAAGAGAGATGAGACAGATGAGGCCTCGATCCAATTCGGTCGATTACCCGCTTCTGTCACGTTTGATAAAAAGACTAGCTTTCGTTCGCTGGTCTATCCTATCTCTGTATTCTTTGTAATTTTGACTGTTTTTATTCTACTGTCTTGTTTTACTTACACATACACACGCGCGCGCACACACGCAAACGCACAATCAGATTGTTTTTTATGAATTAAACTACTTTAAATAATAATAATTATCATTGTAACTGGCTCAGTATCTTTACTGGCGCAGTGACACCGCTGAGTGTGACTCGACGCATTCCACAACGTCTTATAAACGCCTCCTTACGTTACATATATATGCTTATTTGTTTTATCTATTTAATTCCTTTTTAATGTCTACATTACAATGTGAGGCTTTTCTAATTTTAATCACTCTGTTTCGTATGCTCTCAATATAATTTATAACACTAATTATAACTTTTATTCCACATCGTAATCAGTAGTAAGTTTTTTTCGAAACTTTTACTGTTATTTGTTATGTCCGAAAGAAATATTTCAATTATTTTCAAAAAATTTTATTTATGTCCATTACAAACGATAATTTGTATTTTTTATCTTAATCTGTAATTATTTATAATTAAAATATTTTCGTTGGTATGATTACCATCACTGTAGTTATTGAAATTTTTTATGTAATACTTAATTTTTTCGATTTCTAACAAAAATTTTTTTTTGACAATTGTTTAGAGCCGTATCTTTATCAAAATTTAATCATAACGCTGATTTGTAGATTCATAAATTACAAATATTTTTCACTAGTTGTAATTAAATACAAAAGAGTGTTGTTTCTATAATTGGATTTATAACTGTTGGACCTCCTAATGGAATAAATAAAAAATAAAAAAAATTATTTTGACAATGTAAAATTTTCGGAAATAATCCTATTTTCAACATTCTATCACAAAAATGTAATGCGGTGTTGATTTTTTAGTAGATTTTATAGAAATCTAATTATTGCATTGGTCCTCATGACGGAACTTTTAAAAAATTTTGTTATATTTCGACTATACTCGTCGAGCTGAGTTAGAAAATGCATATGGCTCAAAAGTTTATATATGTATGTATATATATACAATCATGGACATTAATTTAAGTATGTTTTTAAGTGTACTGGACAATAGCCATTTGTT